TTTAGTCGCGGAATGTCCGTGGTACGAAGAGGAGAGGGAAGTGTACATGACCGAGCTGGGAAAAATAGAAGGGACGTACAGGGAGATGTTTGAGGCATGGAATAGAGAGGAGAGGACGGTAGCTGTACTGGGGAGTAGGAAGTGGTTTGAGAAGGCGGGAAGGGATATCGTTAGGATAGACAGACTCGGGAAGACATTTTTGAGCCACCTTTGGCAAAGTAGGAAGGAACGATTGGCCATCGGTGATCGGTGCTGTGGGAACAATGTTCCGTCCTCTCGAGGACGCGTGGTCAATGGTCTAACCGCTAAGACATGCAAAACATAAGAGTACGCCCCCCCCACACACACACACACGCACACTGCAGGTTCGGCGCACCACTTCTCGTCAAGCTCGGAAAAATTGGTGTGCAACCTAATGATAGGTGGATGAAACCTCAAGCGATGACCACGCTCTTCCTCGGCCGCTCTCAACAAACTCACATCGCAGGCGTCCGAGCTCATCTGTCCCCGGACCCCGCGGCTTAGCCTCCCAAGCCCGGGATCGCGTCTGCGCACCACGCTCCTGTTGGGGCGGCGGGGGCAGGGGCGGCACACGGTATGACAACCCGTGAACAGCTAGGTTGGGGTTGGGGTTAGCGGCGAAGACAACAGCCGGGAGTGTTTCAACCGGAAACGTCTACCAACAACAACAACAACGACAACAACAACAACAACAACAACAACTACCACCACCACCACCACCAACACAAACAACAACAACGACGACAACAACAGCAGTAGCAGATAAAAATCGTTTCACTCGCTGCCGCCATCATACCTTCTTGGCTCGAGCGCCTTCTGCACCACCTCGTGCAACTGGTGATGCAACATCGAAACCTGACAACATGACGGCACGACAACATGACAGCATCCAGACGGTGCCCGCCGAGGGAGCGCAGACAAGGTACAGAGTACGACGACATCACCGTCAAACTAGGCAAGCATGTTTCAAATCCACAAAGCGGGTCGGGGGTGGGCGTCGCGCTCGGGGAGCGGCAGAAAACTACTTCGGCACAAAAAAAAGGGGTCACTATGAGAAACAAGGCCACGCCACAGCCACCGCCGAATTATCTAGAAAAAGAACGGCAACTCACCCAGGCATTCCGCTTTTCACATGGAAACACGATCGATCATTGACATCAAAACAACCTCCCGGACAACCGCTCGCAGCAACTACAGAGAAAAAAGGGTGCGAGGGCGTGGGCGCACCTCCACCACCAACACCAACAGCAATACGGATGCGAGAGAGTGAGTGCCACAAGCATCCCTTGTCTTCTTCACCATCTCACCAGCGGCGCCTCAACAACCTTCACCACGACACCCATCCATCACAACCAACGCCAACGATAACGATCAGTGAGTATCAAGACTGAGACTACCATATTTATTTTATCTTCCTGTTCGTGATGATCTCACCAGCGCCTCACACATCTCGGCCACGACGTTGACGACCGCCCAGCCCTTGCGCTTCTCCCCCGCGAGACGGTGAGCTGCGATCTTCACCATGGAGAACGACCGCTTGTCTCCTGCGATATCAAAGGAAGGCCAATCAACCAAACAAATAAACAGGCCATTCGGCCAACCAACACGTGGCGAGGGACATCAAAAGAGACCCAAAACAACGGGTGGCGAGCGTAGACGAATCAACAGAGCAGCACAGCATGAAACGTGGTACCAAATTGATGACCTTCTCCACACCGTGTTCGCGCGAAAGTTATCTTCAAAATGGAAGTATTAATATTTCACAACAATAGTGCGTTCGTCTCTCCTACCAAATGCCTACATCCCGGACGGAACACATGGGATTGGATTAGCTTTGTCCACGGCAGTGACGAGAGTTCTGCTCCCGTTCTAACAAGTAGAGATGGCACAGAGCTCCACAAAATGCTTGAGTGAGGAAGTTCAAGCTTGTTTGGAGCACTTGTAGGGTCGACGGGGGCGACAAACGAACAACCAACAATATATTTTTCCCACCGTCTTCAAACTCCCACGAAGCCAAAAACAATACCACTGGTTCAAAATAACACCCTCGCCTTCCCCTAAAAGTGCGAGTCATCGCACCCCCCCTCGAAGAGCACGATGTTCAGCAGGCCGACTGCACAACTAACCTACAGCCTGCCAATGCCGAACCAAGGTGTGTGTTTTGTGTGCTAAAAAAAAATCTCGCCCAACTCTTTCCTTGCACTTTGTACGAGCGAGTTTTCGATAGCACGCTCTTGATTGCGGAGCAATCCATCTCTGGAGCGGCAGTCCAGCAGGCGGTGTGCCTTCCCATCCGATCACTCGCTCTTTCGCCGTAGCACCCTTACGGTAAAACACTCACCAAGGAAGTCAGAGCGGTCGGGTTCCACTACCGCACCACCACCACCAGCCGCCCCAAACACCCCCGCACCGCCTCCTCCCCCGGCCGCAACTCCGCCCCTAGAAACCACAACAGGCGTGCGCGCGGGCGAAACTTCTCCGGGGTCGCCGCCGCCGCCGCCGCTGCCGCCAGCACCGCCGGGGTTTCCAGAAGCCTGGGTGGATGACGATGAAGGTGGTGCCGGAGCGGGGGCGGCCTGGTAGCCCGGCTGGCGGCGCAACACGCAGACCTCGACAAACACGCGGAAGGCTCGCATAACCACCGCCTTTTTTCGCCGTACAAGATAACGGGGGGGCAGTGGCGGGGCGACGACGGGGCAGGAGGATGAAGAAGAGGAGGTAAAAGCCAGTAGCCTTCGCGATGGCAATACGGTTGGTTTTTAGGACGCGGTACGGGGTGCGGTAGGGGGCTAGGGTAAGGAATACCAACCTTTCTCTCTACATGTTGTCGTTGTTCTTGTCTTCACATTAATACATGATAAATGATAAAATCCTCGCGAGGCGGTCGAGGTGAGCGGTTACGGGTAGCAGCGTGGGGTGTGGCGACTAGAGGCAGGCGGCACTTCTCGCTGTGGAAGGCGTGTTTTCATTTGTTGAACGGCGGTCGAAACGCCTGAAAGGCCGGCAACAGGTGACGCACCTCGGCCTCGGCCAGCGACCAGTTCCGGTTGGCAGCCTCGCAAGCCAATCGCAAGGCAGCAGCGCGCCCCCCGCTGCGATACGTCAACAGAGACAGTTCAGAACGAAACACAGCACAAGAAACAAAATAAGTCAGGTTTGACTCCATGCAGCCGAACTTTTCGGCTGGGGGAAGAGGTGTTGGTACACCAGGACCGACATGCGAGAGGCTGGATTGTGATACGCGCAGCCATCGATGGAGCATTAGAGGCTACCGCAAGAGGACACTCACGAGTTACCAGCAGCCGCAGCAGCAGAAACCAAGCGCAAACAAAACGCCTATAAAGTGTCCAACGTTCACACGCACTGATTTCTTCCGTTCACGGCGCACCCCTGCAGCAATATTCTCGAGAAAAAAAAAAACTCGCCTCCTAGGGGGCTCCGCGGCTCGTACCACCAGCTGCAAGCTATCCCCCCCTCCTTCCGACGCCCGTCCCTCGTGAGGAGGGAGGCCCACGAGTCGCTCTAGACCGGGAATGTGGTACAAGAAACCGTCGCCGAAAACCCTGGAAGCGTTCCATGAACGGGGAGCGGGGTGGGTGGGTTATCTCTGTGTCTAGCATCAGCATCAGCATCAGTAGCATCAGCATCAGTAGCATCAGCAGCAGCAGCAGCAGCTGGGTGTGGTACCGAAAATGATGGAATGTAGCGTGTTGGGTGTGTGGGGGGTTACGCAAACGCGGGTGAAATCACTCACTTCCCAGCTTCACAGGACGACAACTATATTACCGCGACGGCTTTGTTGAGCCCACTAAATGACGACGACCAATCACAGGACGCACCTCTCCCGCGTCGGCACTGCGAGGGTGTCGTCCAGGCTGATACCCAAATCAGAGGCCAGCTTCTTGGCCGTCTTAGCCTGATGGTCACATTGTTGTGGTTGTCGGTTGGGTGATGCATGAGAGAAAGCGACGGAGGGGGATGGATGATAGTGACGGCGGCCCACCACGTCCCAGAAAACAGAAAAAGAGGACTCGGGATATTGCCAACATGCGCGTGTGTGTGCGTGTTGTCTCACGTGTTCTGGCCAGTCGGTTTCATTCAAGACGGGTCAGAGAAGATCTCAACATGCACGGCACAGCGCGTCTCTCCCTGTGTTTCATCCCAGGCATTCCGGACGCCAGCCTCACACACACTCCAGCATAGATGTAGGGGTTCATCAGCCGGTGACACACAGGAGTCTGTGGTCCGCCGAATTTGCACGAAAAAAATCGACTCGCCGCTGTTACATACAACATAGATCGTTCGTATTAGCTCCAACTTTATTGTCTTGAGGACAAACGCACACGAGCATTCGCACACGAGCCTACGGACCTTCCACGTTTCGATTCCCACGGTCGTCTCATCGAAGGCTACACACGAGAGGCCAACCAAACACGCAAAAACTCCAGTGTAGAGGCTTAAATAGACTCAAAATACGCCCACCCACTGGAAAGACTCCAACCAGCCCCCTTCGACTGCGGAAGCCCCCTTCGACTACGGAATTATCTCGAATGGATATAACAGTCTTTCTGCGATGGTACACGCATGTAGAAATTCTAAAAGGAACCAAAAACAGGAGGGAGGTAACCATGTTACACTCACAAGCTTATTAAAAAAAAGAAACATACTTTTGAGGCGCATACAGGAGCACCACCACCAAAAACGCACACAAGCACAAGCAACTCACAAGCCGCGGGTCGAGGCTAAAGAGGGTGTACGTGGAAGTCCAGCAGCCGAAGTACTCCTCGATGTTAGTCCTGATGAACCCCTCCACCGCCTTGGCCGCGGCTCTTGACCCCTCCACCCCGCCGCCGCCGTCGCCCCCGTCTCCGCCGGAAACCTTCCCCGCGGCGTCGCCGTTTCCTGGCAGAGCCGTCGCCTTGAGCGGGGGCGGGAGCGCCGCTGCTCCGAGGGGACGCAAGCCCCGGTGCATCTCGAGGGCCAGGATCTGTTTCGCGTGTGGGCATTGGTGAGGGTTTTTAGCGTTACAATCGACCGCGCTGACCGGCCGACCAATGAAAAGACGTCAGTCTCAGTGCGGCCGAAAAATACAAAATCGTTCCAAAGGCCACGGTCTGGGACCCCGTGAGGGAGCGTCATGCGGGGGTCTATGCTACTCTCCGGATTAAAGACGGACACCGTAAGCAATAACAGAAGAAAACTGCACGTGTTTACCACGGCTGCTTTGCGTGTGTGTGTTTGTTTTCGAAAGTTTAGAAAGAGGCCAGAAAACAAACAAAAAGAGAGAGAGAGAGAGAGAGAGAGAGAGAGAGAGAGAGAGAGAGAGAGAAGGGGGTTTTAGGCCCGCGAAAGATGGTCGATGCCAACCAAAGAAACACTCGCCCCAAAATCCGCATTAACACCCAAAACAAGCGAAAAACAAATCATACATATTGTACGTGACATAAGATACTACACCCGCTGGACATATTTCCAAAACCCGACTAGTTGGAACTGTGATGGGCAAAAAATGTCGGCGTTGGAACTATCGCGTCGACACCTTTACGAAAACCGATCGCTTGTTTGATTTTATACATGCACCCTCTTTGTGGTGGGGTAATCGAGCTTTTGAGAATCGGTCCAGGGGATGTGTCGTCTGACGTCACGTGCACCTTCTTCCTCGCGGGGTAATCGATCTTCTTAAAATTGGTCCAAGGGGGCGTGTTGTCCTACGTCACTACGGCACATACATCCCCATACAGTAAGCACCGAAGCGCACACTCTGAGAAATACACGTCGTCCCGCACATTTCCACGCAGCAAAATCCTCGCCGGCAACCAGCAAAAACATGTATCTCGTCCACCACACCCTCAACCTACCATCAACACCATCAACACAAAAACCAACGTGAAACAACACAACATACGCACCTCGAGGACAATGCCGTGGCAACGAAGCGTGTGGCACAGCCGCGCCGTCTGCCTCCCGTCGAGTCCCCGCTCCCCCCCCCCCTGAAGGGGTCGCCCCGCGGCGCCCCCGCTCGCCCGCGTGCCTAGACCTCGTGTCCCACGACAGGTCTTGGATGAGAACCGAGGTGAGCAGCACCCAGAACTCCTCGCTGGTCGCCAATGCGAACACCGCCTGCATTTCGAAAATATGCGGTACGGTACGGTACGGCACGGTACATTTTTTCGTGTGTTATGGTGTTCCATGAGAGAGAGAGAAAGTGAGAGATAGGGGGAGGGGAGAGAGAGAGAGAGAGAGAGAGAGAGAGAGAGAGAGAGAGAGAGAGAGAAGAGAGAAAGACAGACAGAGAGAGAGAGAGAGAAAGAGAGAGAGAGAGAAAAAGAGAGAAAGACAGACAGAGAGAGAGAGAAAGAGAAAGAAAGAGAGAGAGAGAGAGAGAGAGAGAGAGAGAGAGAGAGAAAGACAGAGAGAGAAAGACAGAGAGAGAGAAAGAGAAAGAGAGAGCACAAGTATCAAGCGCGCGGGGTTTTGCTGAAGTCGGTGGATGCGTTCGTCCTATCATTTATTCTAGCGCGAGTCTTCACCCTTCGGCGTAACTTTGACGTGTCTGCAGGGGTTACGGTCGAACAGGAGGAGAGCAATACAGGAACCCCTTTGTGTTCTTTCATGCTTACGGTTGGGGGGTAAAAGCGAGGAAACGTTAAACCGGGGTTCTGGGCCAAGTGAAAGGAGGCTGCCGTCTGCCAGCAATCTTTCTCTCGCCTGCTGCCGGCAGTGACAAGTCTGACATCGTTTTGTTTCATGGCATCGAAGCACGAGGTGGGATTTCGAAAGAGTCATGGCAGGCGTCACCGCCTGCCGTCGTGCAGCAGGGGTCAAAAAGCGAAAGCCAAGAGCGCTTCGGCTCTTGGTGCGGCTGACCACCAGCACACCAGCAAGTAATCAAGGCCAACCCCAAAACTATGCAATGATACTGTAGCGACGGCCTTCACACACTAAGCAGAGCCTAGAGAACCAAACTATCGCGCGCTATTGCTGTACAGAAAACAGAAAACGGCAAAGGTGACATACAAAACGAGATCTGTTTATTGCCCGACAAAACCGTGAATACGGAGCGATCGTACACGCGGGGGCCCAGGTCATGGCCTTTAGAAGCATTTTGTGACTTCAACCGCACTGAGACTGACGTATTTTCATTGGTCAGCGCGGTCGATGCAAACAAATAAACACACACTCACACACACCCTCTGACGGGGTCCCAGGTCATGGCCTTCACAAGCATTTCCTGATTTCAGCCGCACGAGACTGATGACGCCTGTTTATTGGTCAGCTGGTCACAAAAAAAGCAGAAAAAAAAAAAACACACACACACACACACAAACACACCTGCCCCAGACGACCCACGCCCTCCGCGTGCCACAGCCCCAACACCAGCTCCAGCGCCATCACCAACGACTCGCTGCCGCCGGCAAGCCCGCGCTGCCCGTCCGCCAGCTCGACCGAAAGCGCCTTGAGCACCGACAAAAGCGCCCCCGACAGCGCCGCGCCCCCCACAACAGCCGCCGTCTCCCCGTCACCGGTAGGGGGAGAGGGTGTCGACAACGCATTCGGCGTCGCCCCCGCTTTCCGCGGTGGCGTCGGCTGCGCCCAGAACAGCACCACTACCAACGCCGGCTGCTCCTTGACCGCGGACAAGAGGAGGCCGAGGGCCGCCGCCCTCCTCTCCTCGACTGCGGTACCGCCACCTCCCACAGGCTCGTCGGGGTTCTGTGAAGACATCGCGGCGACCAGCGCCTGCCGCAGATGGTACGCGTCGTCGGGGCTGAGGGAATCCGCGAGGGGCCGAACAACCCCACCGCCGCCCCCGCCGATAGGCCCGGCGGCCGTAGGTACCCCCGCCCAGACCGGCGGTGCCGCCGCCGCCGCCGCCGCCGCCGCCATTGGCGCAGAGGCGGCGTCGCCGTTGAAGGGGAAGCCGCTCCGCACGAGGGATGCCAGCGTGGAGTTGGCGAGGGCGGGGAGTCGCTCGGCACAGGGGTCCCGGGATGAGGGGTCGGAGGCGAGGCGGCGGGGGGGGAAGGACGACAGCGCCGCGGCTACCAGGGCGAACGACGGGACCTGGTCATCGGAGATCGTTGGAGATCGTCGGAGATCATTGGAGATCATTGGAGATCATCGTGAATCATCCGAGATTGGGAGTGATAGCACACAACAACAGCAATAAAACAGGGAGGGGGAGGAAGGCACTTGCGCATGAGGGATGGCAGTCAAGTCACGGTGGAGTCATGTGCGTTCGATGGTAGCCGAGAGAGCAAACAATTGCGCCGCCGCGTGTGAGAGAAGACGAGAACACGACTTTCGACTCCAATCATCGACTAAACACACAGCACGAAATCCTCGTTCATCATCTGGAAGTGATGAAGAGGGACGAGCCCGTTGCTCTGGCTCCAAAACAACGGACATTCGTGGGCAGTAGAACGAGAGCTACCGACACCATCATGTTGCATGCACCGGAAATAAACATCATCCCGCCTGTCCTGACGGGGCCCCGAATCTATGGAGCACCGTCCCTCAACCGCGGGTACAGCAGTAGAAGGAATCAAGGGTCACATCTCACAGAAACCCCCCACCCCATATTTTCACGCAAAAAAAAACAAAGCAGTCACCAAACGGAGGGAGGCGAGGTCAAAAAGGGGGGGAGGGGCGGCTCTGAAGGCGCAAAAATCTCACACACCTCGCTTCCCGAAGTGCCCGACACAAAAGGCCACCCGGTGACGAACCCCCCCGCTTCCGCCGACCGCAACAACAGCGCCGCCGCCCCGGACACCACCGCCGACGCGGCTGAGCCTGACGACCCCGGCGCCGCCATGGCGAATGAAGGGGTGCCGTCGCTGGGGGTGCCGCTGCCGACGGACTCTGAATGGTAGGTGTTTTCCGTCAGGACGCGCTCGAGGATTACCAGCGATTCCTAGCGGTCGTTACAAAAAAAAAGTGGGGAGGGATGGTGTGTGTGTGTGCGTGATTTTATGAGTATTAGCACCGGCCGCGGTGCCCTGGCGGTCATAAAAAAAAAAAAGAAGGAAGTGCGTACAAGTGTGTGGGTGTCCGCAATAGTGTCTGAGCGGCTAGCCGTCAGTCTCGGTGCGGCTGAAAACGGAAAACGTGAGGTGTTGTGTGCGTGCGTTATAACTATTAGCATCGACAGCGCCTCCAAGCGGTTCATCAACCAAAACACATCAGTCTCAGGTCTCAAGGCCGCCAAACAAGGAAAACGATTCTACAGGCCGTGGTGTGGGACCCTGTATGGGGGGCCATGGGGGAGGCCAGTGCTTCTGACATCTCTTTGTTCCGAACGTCCATGAATACGCCCTCTCGGCATGTACAGCAGTACCACTGCAGAGCGGTAGAATGCCAAGAGAACGGCGACGATGACGAATGCCAAGAGAATGGCGACGATTACGACGGCTTGCAAAACAGCACCAGAAACAAAGCACAACAGCCACAACCAAGGCACCAGTGACACCAGTGACACCAGTGACACCAGTGTCAGCGTGACAGTCCAGTGCAGCACACGCGATTCGGCGGCAGATACTAGCATACCGCTGTGACCTGACGACAAAGGCAGACAGCAACAACAGCAACAACAACAACAACAACAACAACAACAGACATAAAAGCGTCGACGCAGACAACACCCAGGGAAGCAAGCCCACAACCTCCCTAAAAGTGTTATCCAGACACTGCGTCCAACATCTATTACTGCCGAGGATACTGCACCTGTGCGAGGGCAGTGACCATGTCCAGGGGGCTGTCCCCGTCATCCTGTAACGCCGAAAACGCCTTCGAATAGTCCACGGGTAGAAGCGACTTCGGGAAGCCTGCTGCTGCCAGCTCGTCTTGCTCGTTGCCGCTGATTTTCGTCGCCCATTCGTGTGAAAAATAGAGATGATGTGTGGGGGAGGTAACTTCTGATCTAAAAAAAAGTCAGTGTTGTATAGTCCGCCCGGTTACATAGTGCCACAATCGGACCCCCACTTTTTCTCGCTTAATTTTGAGAGTTAACACGCGAAACAAAGTTGACACGAACTGCAGAGGGTCGAAAGGCATCGAAATCCGGTGTCAAAAAAAAAAGGGGGGGGGGAACAACGGCCATTTTTTGAAAAAATTACCCGAAAGAATTAACCCGAATCGACCATTTATCTATCTTCGCACTTCAAGGCTGAGGGAGAAATTGGGCGGAAACATGTACCCAAAGCAACAGACGGGTACGTGTGTGCGATCGATATCTACAGATCGATTGTTCCACCAACAAGAAAGAGCTCAGCGACGTTGCTCCGATGAGTGGTATGAATTGTGGGGGTGGAGGTCGTCGGGGTAGGAGCGGCGGTGGCCACACCAACGCATCAACGCCTCACGGCAAAGAAAGTGATGTGCCTAACCTAAGCTAACCTAACCGGTATTGCTGATATCTTCGGGTCGCAGTATGCGCCGAACGGACGAGTAAATCGAGTTTGAAAACAGCAAAAACAACAACAACAACAGCAACAGCAGCAGCAACAACAACAACAACAACAACAACAACAACAACAACAACAACAACAACAACAAACAAACGAACACCTCCCTACCCCCGCCGTCACCTGTCGCCATTTACCCCGGCCGCCGCCACCGCTGCCGCCACCAGAAGGCTCATACACGCGGCCACCGCCGTCCCCAGCGACAAGTCTTGCGCCACGGCGAGCGAGGCGTCGACTTTCAGCGCCCGAGCCACGGAAACGTACTCCGACGCAGCTCCGCCGGACTGCGGCTGCGGAACCGGGAGTGGCTGGTCGAGAAGAACACTATTTTGGCAGGGATTCCGCGCAGAAAAAAAGAAGACACACGTGAAGTGTTAGTTTTTGAGGAGCCCGTTGGTAGGGGTTCGATGCAGAAAACAAAAAAAAAGATACACGTGAAGTGTTAGTTTTTGAGGCGCCCGTTGGTAGGGGTTCCATGCCGAAAAAACAGCAAGTTTTCCTTTTTTGAGTCGCGCTTTGGTAGGGGTTCCATGCAGAAAAAAAACAGAAAAGAAACGGATGTATTCTTTCGAGGCACCCGTCCAAGGGGAGTCATTAACGGCAGGGTTGCGTAGGCTGGCGTTAAGAACTTGTCCGCTAAGGAGCTCGATGCTCGAACAAAGCTTGAGGAGGTTAAGGCTTGTGGGTGTGGAAAGCCGGAACGTCGGCGTGTCACTGAACGTTTCTGGGGTCAACATGGTGCGCGAGTTGGTCAGGCCTGTGAAGCACTGTACGGCCGAAGAAATAATTGATCCTTGAACACCTACTGCAGGCTGCTCGCTAAAGACGCTATTCAACAGGTACGCGCGCACGTACACAGGTTGGGGTGGGGGGGTGACACACTTTCGACAGCCCAACACTCAACCGTGCAAATAGCAGACAAGAGTTCTTCCCCTCATTTCCCAACAAGCAGAAAAACGATCACATCGCCATCACAGCACCACCAACAGCAGAGGATAGAACGCGCCCGCAGCCAAGAACCCAGGAGATAAAAGAAATTGAGCCTCAAAAACATCCAAAATTTTACTAAAATACTAAGAAATCCAAACCAAAAACATAATCCAAAATTGAAGAACGTGAGCACCCTTTGTGAGCGCAGTCAAGAAAACCACAAAAGCCTTATACAACGACCATTCGTAGCATCACCGACCGTAGGAACCAAGAACCCCCCAAGCCTCGGCCGAAACTGTTATATAGAGGTTCTTGAGTGTGCGGGCGCGTTCTGTAGCAGCAAAAAAAAAAAAAAAAAGCGGGGCCCTCGACCCACCGGGATGGACTGCAAGCCACAGCAACGACAACGCCCCAGCGCTGTCCCATTCCACGGAACCCTCCAGTCCTGGCAGAGCCGGGAGTGTGAGCGTGACGAAGCCCAGCATGCGGGAGCCGGCCTGCTGTAGCGATCTTTCCTCGGACAGTCTTCCTTTTTGACCCGCTTGCCGTAGCCTAGGGCATGAAGCAGACAGACAAAGGAAAAACAGAAAGTGGCAAGCGGATTGTGGGAGTGGGGCGAGGAGGGGGTAACGAAATTAACCAGCGGTTGCTTGCCTCGAAGTCCTTTGGGCCAACGGCCGCGCGTCTCCCTTTCGACATAGACACCGAGACGGACGACTGCACCGCTTCCTAGCAGAGAGGCCGCCACCACTAATTGGTTTCCTTCACGAGCTGAAGCTATACTCTAATGGTATGTATCTCAGCACCGCTTTGCAAGTCCTGGCTCGTTTTCCTCAAGACGCGGCGGGGGGGGGGGGGGGGGGCACCGCAAAATGATCAGTCAACATCGGGGGGCGTGAGAATTTCGGCAAGAGGTCGTACGCGGTAGATTTACCGCCGGTTCGATGGCCACTGCAGAGACAAACCTAGGGAGAACCACGTAGCCAGCAGGTGCCGCCAACCCTCCTATCAATCAACGTCTCCCTTCCAACACATTCATTTCTTCGAACAGGGAAAAATCTCGAATGGTTGTATGTACAATTTCTAAAACGTCCACACCCGAACGGCGGACGCGAGACTAGCGAATCTCCCCTATCCAGCTTCGCTTCGTGCGAGTCCAATCAGATGCGTTCCGTTGTTCTCCCCCACGAAACAAACGATCTGTGACGGCACGTCCGTGCATTGCGAACCGTCCCACGTGTACCTAGAAAATAACGGCAGCGGAGGGGGGACAGATTCGGCACGAATCCATCCCCTGCTTTCGGCCCCCCTAAAAAAACTACTGAGGAATGAGCAATGAACAACCTGTCGACCATTCCCAGTCTCCCCCCCAAAAAAAAGCGCGGCAAAGGGTCGACAGAGTTAACGAAAAGCAGAGAGAAAAGTCCGGTCGGAGTAACGAAAGACTGAGAGATATGTCGGGGACGGACTCTGTTCGGTGGCCACATCTTCAAGCCGCGGCCTAGGTTGGGGGGTAACAAGAACCCATGCCGGTCGTGGGTCACGGGGATAACTTCTGTTTCCCCTCCCGCTGCTGCTACTGCTGCTGCTGCCGCCGCCCTAGGTTTTGTCGTTCGGCCATTTGAATCTTCCAAAGCCCGGCACCAAGATTTGGGTCGTGCCTCATATCAAGAAAGACGCTGTTCCCAGGACGAGGTAGACAGTTCTGGTGTACCCTAGATGTGAAAAGACTCGTAGCAGTGGACGTTTGCTGCTGCTGCTTGCTGCTGGTGCTGCTGGTGCTGCTGCCCTGGCCGCACCGGCTGGTCCTCCTACGGTATGTCTTCGCCCCCCCTTTGCGGTCGAATTTCGCCAAGGCGACGGTGGTCGCCTAGTCCATGTCCCTGACACACCTGTCAATAGCTGGCTTGGGCTTGGTGGGAAGCGAGCTCAAAGTCCATGGAGATCGGGTGCTGTTCCCTGAAGGGGAAGCGGCGGAGGATCTGCCCGCCGCACAGCTCGCACAGCATACCGAGCTTAGCGAAGGGCAGATGCCCCACCGCTTCCCCTCCAGGGAACAACACCAAACATCCATGGACTTTGGGCTTGCTTCCCACCAAGTCCAAGCCGGCTATAGACAGGTGTGTGAGGGGCGTGGACTAGGTGACCACCGTCGCCGTGGCGACAATCGACAGAAAGGGGGTCCTGCAGATGGGCCGCGAGGACGTACCGTAGGAGGACCAGCCGATGGAGCCAGGAGGGCAGCAGCAGCAGCAGCAGCAGCAGCAGCAGCGGCGGCAGCAGCAGCGGGAGTTTGAAGAAGAAATGCCCCCCTGCGACCCACAAGACCTGCCCTCGGTCTTGCTCCCGCGCCCCGACCGCGGCTTGAAGATGTGGCCGCCGAATAGGGTCCGTCCCCGACATATCTCTCCGCTTTCGGATATTCTCTCCCGATATGTTGCGGAGAAAAACGAAGATTGCGTAGGTAGGCTGCTGGAAAAGGAGGCCGGACCTAAACAAACCCAACACTTTCTGTACGTACTCAAAAATGGAGACGATATTTGACAACAACTACTGGTGTACGCGGATGGATCGTTTCTGGATGTGAGGCAACGCGCAGAGATTGAGCACCGCATCATCAGAGCGGTGAGGCTCCCCTTTCGGTCGGGACGGGAGGTCTCATACCCAAACAAACCCAATGGCACTACTGTCGAAAAGTGATCCACAACGCGGATGACAGCATGACAGAAAAAACAAACGAGCAAAAAATATTTACGGTAGAAAGAGGCGCACTCTCACTATCAATACTCACGTGGGCAAGTACGCCTGCCCGAGGTGCTGTAGGACCTCCCGAGCTAGCCGCAGCACAGCTCCGGTAAACGCGTACGTGCCTACGCCGCCGCACGACACACGACACGCGTAGGTGGATGAGTCGACCGGTCTTGATCGTCATGGTTTATCGATCGATGCACACAAATTTGATCGACTTCGTGGTTGTAACTACCGGGAGCATTCCGCTACTGTCCACGCAAGGCTCTAAACCTTCTTCGACGACGATCAAGTACACGCGACTGAAAAACATGACGGAAAAAGGTACATGTAATATGACAACATGCGCTTTCGTGCGGATGCAAGGCTCTACACCTTCTCCGACTAAAGAATAATGTCCACGCGACTGCAAAACAAACAAAAATAAGGTACATTCAATAGCAGAGCAAATGAGGTGCGTCCACGTCCTATAATCCAGCGGCCTAGCTCATAACCCAACAGATGCGTGTACAGTACCTGCCCAGATTTCAAACAAGAAGAGCAGAAATCAGGACCAGACCAAAAACAAACGATTATCTACGGAAATGATACCCTGGCAAGAATATTTCTCTACGCACAAACGCTTAAGCCCCGAATATAAAATCGGGACCAGACATGAATAAACCAAACGACACATATCTACGGAACGATATGTACCCTGGCGAAGACTTCATCTATTCACAAACACTAAAGCCCCGAAAACAAACAAAATCAATCTTGCTGTCCTGTCCATCTCTCTCACCGTGAACCCCATCGATGTCCCTAGCCACCGTCCAACACGCCTCCAGAATCTCCACCCCCCGCCCCCCCCCGCCATCCGCCCCCCCCACCCCGACCGCGACCCCCCCCCCCCAAGGGCTAAACCCGGGGCCCCCCCC